ATTGGTACTTGGTATTAGACTTTTCCATGCTTGCTTATTTTAATAAATGTAATTCAGCTGCAAACTCTTACCTGTTTCTAACTATCCTCCCTAATCTAAATATTCCTGGAGTAAAGATTATTTTGGGAGGTAGAATAAACTGCACACAAATCTTACATAAACTCAGAATTATGTTGTTTGGTTTTTTTTGAAAAAAAAAGTGTTCTCTAAATAATGTAAACTATAATAAAATTAGAAGTATAAAATATAATAATTAGGGTAAATTTTACATGAGGCATAAAATGTAACTCTGGTCTCGATAGTCTCCTGCTTAAAAATTCTCCATGGCAATGAAATTCATATCTTTTAACTTCACTTTCAAAGTTGTTATCTAGCTTCAGTAGACTACTTCCTGCTTCATCTTTTATCAATCTCCCCCTCTCCCCCCGCCACCAACCCACACCCCGCTGTATTCTATCCTTGAGGTACTTTCTGAAAGTCCCCAGTTGGTATATTCTCTCCCTCTTGTTCTCATTTTGTATTCTGCCTCTACACACACACACACACACACTTCTGCTACCACTCACTACTTTGTCAAATTCATTCTCATCCTTCAGGTCTGAATTTAAATGTCACTTCTTCAGAGCCCTTCCCTGACCCACTAGTCTCAATTCTGACCCTCTCCCACCATTCTCTCACTATCCTCCTCCAGAACTCGTGTGTCAATGTATAATCATACATTTATCTGTGTCATTATCTGGCTAGTATCCATCTTCACCACTAGACTGTAGGTTTCAGGAAGGGAGGCAGCATATCTTGTGTTTGCTCACCTTCGGTTAACCAGCCCTTAGCACGATACCTGGCACACAGTAGGACTTCAATCAATATTTCTTGAATGAACAAATGAAGAAGACCCTGGAAATATACCAAAACCAATGCTGAGTGTGATCCAAACCAGTTGTTATTTCCATACCTGGTGTGTCCCACCTGGAGTGAGCTAAGACCCTGAGAGAGCCCACGTGACTCAGGAGCTGCAGTCTCCATATTAGCACCTGGTGTGAGCCCATCTCCTGGCCCTTCACCCGGGCTCCTGTTTCCAGTCCCACACAACTTGTCACAAGGACTCTAGAATGGCACCCTCCCATCTCCATCACACAGAAGCTGTGCCAGGCCCCTTCTCAATGGCTGGACCCCACCACTCTTATCTCTCTGGAAACAGCATTTAACCAAAAACTGAAAGGGAGGAAGCGTTAAAATAAAACCGAAAAAACAATCCTAGCAACCACAAGAAGACATTTCCAAGACATTTTTATCTTCATGTCTTGGACTAAAATCGGGAGACACTATTTTTGACACTTCTGTTTTGTTTCACAGTGATATACAAAGATGCTTCACATTTCTGCACACTACCCTCTCCCATTCGGCTATGACAACTTGCTTTGATAATCAACAGTTTTTGTGTGATGATGTGTATCCTGACAAATCTTACGCCTTAACAAAAACCTCCTTACAAATTGTTTACTGTGTCAAATAGCTTGTTATATTTGACAGTAGCTTTTCCTTTAGGATTTTAGAATCCATAAGATCCCTTAGTAAAATGCTGCTGCCTGGAGTTTCCCAGAGGTTGAATTAGCATTCCCGGGGTACAACACACTTAAAACTAGATTGAGCTATGGTTCAGGGCTGTCTCTTTAAAAAAAATATATGGTTTTTAAATATGGTTCTACGGGGTATTTACAGAAATACCCCGTAGAACTGAAAGTAACGTTAAATATAATATACTTGAATAAGTATAATTAAGTAATTTTTATCATGTTTTGACATGAAACTTTATAAAAGAACAAAAAGCCAATCAAAATATAACTAAATCGGTTATCTTGCACTTACTGTAAACAAAATGTCATATACAAATATTTTTATTTCTTTGGAAATATTAACCACACTTACTTTGTGTCAACTATGTGCCAAGTATTTTTCTAAACCTTGTGCATCTATTAATTGATGCAATCCCACAATAGACCTTAAAGGGGAACACAGTCATTATTTTCATTGTTCAGATGAAAAGCAAATGGATGCACAAGAAATTCAAAGTAACACAACTAGAAAAGGCAGAGCCAAAGTTATGTGTCCAGGCATCTGCCTCCAGAGCTGTGAGTTTAACCACTCCTCCATCCTCTTATCAATGCATGGACCCAGGCAAATGATCTTTTTCCATTCCCAAGTCCTCATATATAATTTATTATATTTTAAATTGTTATATGCCTTCTATTATGTTATGAAGGATAATGCTAGATTTTTTATCCTCCATGGATTTTAACTATGGCTAATAAACAGCTTGGCATAATGATGTGAGTCAAGTAGAACTGGATTTAGAATCCAGCTCTACCATTACCAATTATCTCACCTTAGGAAAGTTCCTTAATCTTTCTGAGCCCACTTGCTGTTTTGTAAAATAGGGATCATTACAGCTGTTTTCAGGAGAAAATGAGATAATCACATATAAATTGTCTGGCTCATGGGTGATCGATAATATACCTTTCCCCAAGTGTGTAAGTAAGAACACTAGGAAATTACATTAATTCTTATGAAAAAGAAGGTTCCATCAATAAATTACTAATTTGATATTGTAAATTATGTTCTATTGGCTGAAAACAGTTTATTAAGTTCTTTAAGAGTCCCAGTTGTATCAAGAGACAACAGCATTTACAAGAAAACCATATTTTTTGAAGCCTAATCGAAATTTTCATGCTCAGTTACAAAGCACTACAGAAGACGAGTGATCAAATTGACAGTTAACTGAATGAGCAAAACTGAATAGCCAGACTATGGAGGTGTGGATGTCTCACAAATTGCATCCCATTCTATGGAACTCTGCTTTCCCATATCTTCCCATTAAGCGCTCCTGTACCTTTGTGTGGACCTTGTATACCTGAGCCTTTCTGGTGTCAGCTTCTTAGTGAAGCGATTGTGACTAAAGAGAGTTTGGATTGAGATGGTCAAAGAGAAGCCTGGGGCAGTTTAGCCTTGTACAAGAAATGTCACTCTGCTTAATTTTCCTCCACCCTTCCTGATGGGCAGTAGCTATGTCTTGTGTCCCATGGCCACCTCCAATCGTATGTATGTATATGAACACCTGACATAAAGGCAGACAATCCAAAGACTGGTCACACACCTATGCTGTAGGAGCAAGCACCATCATAATACCTTCTTGCAAATTGGTTTTTGCAAACTGAGAGACGAAAGCATTATCAAGGGAGTGCAGAAAGGGAGGTAAAATAAGAGATGTCTCAAGCAAGTTGGTAGGTAGAGGGACTCTGGGATGTCACTAAACAGTGAGAAAAGTGAAGTTAGGATAAAATTTTCTCCCAAAACTTGCAAAGTATATGGAAAGAGAGAGATTCCTAGACTTCTTTGATTTAAATTGTTTTTAAATATGGTTCCACTGTACCTGTATCTTTACAATAGACCTAACTCTTTACCATGGAAAGCGGAATGAAACATCCCAATATAAAATTGAGACTAAGGAGACACACTGACACTGCCCATTGTTATAGAATTTTATTTGCAGAAACAACCAATTCCTTCTGATGTGCCCAGTAGTTGCCTTGTGTCCTTCCCGTAGAGGGTGACAGACACAATCTCCAGTGCTGCTAACAGTGGGCCTCAGGGCAAGACTGGCTGATGAGCACAGGGAGAGAGCCTGTGCTGCCAAAAGTGCAGCTGACATCAGCGGGGAGCAGAGTGAGAACTCCAGATGTTTAGAATTAGGATGGCTATAAACAAATTTGTATCCCCAGATTCACCAAGCTTGCTTTTTAAAATTATTTTTGTATCTGATAAACAAACCCATATTCTCTTTTCTCAGTTGCAAATAGACTAATTCTGTAGGGAATGATAATACTCATACTGGTTAACACAGCTTGCTATTCTTTCCCCAGAAATTGCATAATTCACATCAACATGATTCTCTCAATTGGAAGTTTGGGGACTTCAGTATAAACACTACCATTTTCAAAGACTCTTCAAGACTGGTTTTATGCACATGTATCACCTTATTCATTTTTTTCGTTGTGCCAACTTTCATGTCCAAATGTTACTTTAGCCATAAACATTCTTCACTATGTCATATCATGACATTAAATTTGATACAACTGTCATGGGAGTGGGGCAGGGACATGGGGTAGCATCTTTTGTGCAGCAAACTAACCAGTTGCAAGAGATTATCTGAATTTGTGCCTGGAAATTTCACCAATGCATCTGTGACTAAGAAGAGTCCACTCCCATACTACCATTGCCTCTACTTCAATAATTTGAAGGAGGGGTGTCTTCAGCCAATCTGAAACACACATTTCAAGAGGTTCTTATTATTATTCCCACTTTGTCATCACTCCAGTATGCACAAACCGATGTCTAGCAGGTTCAAAGCCTCCTTTTAATACGTCACAATAAATAGGCCCTCCATACTGCCTAGGACAGTGATGGCGAACCTTTTGAGCTTGGCGTGTCAGCATTTTGAAAAACCCTAACTTAACTCTGGTGCCGTGTCACATATAGAAATTTTTTTATATTTGCAACCATAGTAAAACAAAGACTTACATTTTTGATATTTATTTTATATATTTAAATGCCATTTAACAAAGAAAAAATCAACCAAAAAAAATGAGTTCGCGTGTCACTTCTGACACACGTGTCATAGGTTTGCCATCACTGGCCTAGGAGAACCGTGTATCTTTACTCTCAGCAGTCACATTTCCTTAGAGTCTATTGTCAGAGATAGAATCCATCAAAAACAACAATTGATCTCAGGCAGCTTCTCTACTCAACAGGTTTGAGCAAGGTTGATAATCGCCTAATGCCTGAATCACCCCTTCTATGTTCCAACTGTGTTCTATGTTCCAACACATGCACAAACACACATACACACATGGGATCCTTTGTACATATGGAGTGATTGTGAAATGGTTGACAATAGAGTTGAAAGCTACCAATAACAGTCCTAAACCAAAATGTTCATTTTACAGGGCCGTTGTTCAAGAGAGAACTGCAAGTATCTTCACCCTCCAACACATTTAAAAACTCAACTAGAAATTAATGGGAGGAACAATTTGATCCAGCAAAAAACTGCAGCAGCAATGCTTGCCCAGCAGATGCAATTTATGTTTCCAGGAACCCCACTTCATCCAGTGGTGAGTACATCGCATCTAATGAAGGGCTTGATGATTAAAGTGTTGGTGTGGGCGATGCCACATTGACCTCAGATGGCCTCCCTCTATTTTGTCTCTGGCTACAATTAAAGCAAAAAGCTTTGACGCTAAAGGGATGCTGAAAATAGAGTTTTTAAAATTATTTACACGGGAACATGTGTGTGGAAACAGTAGGCAAAGACAATTTCAACTCAATATCTGGATACCACTCCAGCTCTTTCTCACCAGTAAACTCTGTGTTTGAACCATCTTAGAATACTAATAGTTCTACATTTTCATCTGGAGTCTGAATTGATGATCTCTGTGAAGAAGAGGTTTTGGTGCCTAAACTTTTTTTTTAGCAAGATAGTTGACAGATAATTTAGTTCAATGGCATCATTTTAAGACTGAGGAGTGAGAAACCAGAGGTGTTAAACTGACCAGTCTGCCTCACCTGGAACCTGACACCAGCCCAAAAGGATGATGTCTTAGTCATCTACACCTCCTGTCTCTCCGAGGCCTGCTGGGGGCGTGGCAGTCCAGGCGTGGCAGTCGAGGGAAGGACCACAAGGTTAAATGTATTGTGTTGTGTAATATTTTCTCCCTGATTTCACGGCATTTCAAAGTCCTTCCTTGGCGGTCTGGAAATTGTTCTAGAAATGAGGTCCTGGAGGAAAGGAGTGCATTTGGCTTCAGCAGATTTCATTTATATTTGTGAATTATTTGTCAAAAACAAGCTAATTGTTTTTTAAAAAAACAAAGCCAGTGAAGTGAGTGAAATTTGCCTTTTTTTAAAAAAGTTCGTACACAAAAGACTATTGTTTAAAAATCAGCCTTTATTATATGAAAATTCTTATTGAAAGCTGCTAAATTAAAAGGGATAGCTACCAGTGAGTTGAATTTTTGTACTGTGTGTCTGTGAGGTGAGATGGGAAGGATGGGTGTGGGGATGAGGGGAGGGATCTGGGGGACTAATCTGCTTATCTCAAGGTCAAGAACCTGCTTATCTCAAGGTCAAGAATGATGGAACAAAGTAGCCAGGAACAAGCTCTACCCAGAGGAAAAAACACAAAGACGAGTGCCAGGCCCAGGTGGCTCCAAGATAAACAGGATCTAGTCTTTTGGGGGATAGACAGATACAGGGAAAGGGCAAAGTAAGATTCAGGCACAGGGAACTGTGATTTTGGATAAGGCAGGAAAGGCTGCTTGGAGGAGGTCCCAAATAAGTGCGTCCTAAAGAAGGAGTAGAAGCCTTGATGTAAGGAAAACACAAGTAGGGTTCTAAACACCTTTAACACCAAAAATAGGCATTTAAGTGGACCTATTTAAAACCACACACATGTATAATTTATGGTTCTCTTTTATTGATACATGGATATAAGTTATTTTTTAAATTCTCTAAATGCTAAAATAGTTTAGTTATATGACATTAAATAATGTCTATGGGAATAAATTTAGAACAACCAAGGTCAGCATGGTAACACTGTAGTATATATCTCACTCATTTTAATCATTCACTTCTTATTTATTTATAATTAATAAGGATTGACCCTGGTACTCAATAATGGCAATGTCCATAAGAAAACTCCATTCCTGTTGCTATTAGCTGAACTTTTTTTGAAAGTTATGTATAATCTCAAATATTAGTTAGAAGTTAATAGCTATGATAATGAAAAAGGTATAGTACATTTAAATATTTTAATAGAGATTGTTAAATTGCAAGAAGTATTAGAATAAAGTGTGATAAACTTACTCATCAACCCTACAAGCAAATGACTTCAGAGTCTCAGGAATTAATCGGTGACCTAGCACAGTGTAGTAGGCCAAATAGTGACTCTCAAAAGTACCTGGAACCTGTAAATGTTACCTTAAATGGAAACAGGGTCTTCGCAGATGTGATTAAACTGGGTATCTTGAGCTGAGGTATTCCTCCAGGATGAAATGCAATCACCTCTCTCTCTGTCTATGTCACCCAAAGACCTAGCTTTTTCTCTGGATAATCAGCAACCCCGGAGGCAGCAGAAGACAGTAGCCGGGATCTGACTAATGGTCACAGTGTCTGGACCCCTGGCAGACTAAAGATAACATCTTAACCTAAGTTATATGTAAGTTCCTGAACTCTAAGGTGGAACCACCCCCTGGCTACTTTCCCATGAAACCAGGACAGAAGATCACAAGAACAGACCTCAGAGCTGTCCTCGAGACCTGCAGAAATGATTCATTATCCTTACCTCACCTCTGACCAATCAGCTCCCAGCAAGACCCTGAACCCCTAACCTATGAGGGCTTGTGATTTTGCCCTATATAATCTGTAATCTACATGCCATTGGAAAGTTCAGACTTTTTAGCATTAGCTTCCCATTCTCCTGGACGGCACCATACATAAGAAAGTAGCCAATATTTACCTACTAAATAAATAAATAAGTGCAATGACAACTATCCTTATAAGAGAGATACAAAGGGAGAGTTGGCACAGACAAAGAGGATAAAGGCAATGTGCCCACAGAGGTAAAAAATGGAGCGATGTGGTCACAAACCAAGGAATGCCAGCAGCCACCAGAAGATGGAAGAGACAAGGAATCCTTCCTAGAGACTCCAGAGTGAGTGTTGTCTTGCCAACAACTTGATTTTGACCCAGTGAAACTGATTTCATGATTCCAGGACTATGAAAGGATAAATTGTGTTGTTTTAAGCCACCAAGTTTATGGGAATTTGTTTGATCAGCCACAGGAAATATGCAGAAATTGTTTAAGGTAAAATAGAGAAACAAGTGCCACTCCATTTTTAGATTTCTCTGAAGTTAAACTTCTCTATATTTTTCTACTCCCTCTAGCTCCCATCCACCCTTAAATCTTCTACCAGTGATCTTCATGTTTCTAAACTGAGGGTCACTTTTGTCTTCATTATATTTGTTTAACCTCTTAGTAATATTCGGCTTGTATAATCAATCTCTTCTTTGTAGAGCACTCCCTCCTCTCTAATCACTCCTTCCTCCTCCTTATCTATCATATTCTCTATGTGTTGAAATTACTAATGGGGGTTCCCAGCACTGGACATCTCTCTCATCTACCCTCTCCTTTCTGGTCTCACCCATTCCCATGACTGTAAATCATCTACAGGCTAAGAACAATCCCAAATGTATGCCTCCAGTCCAAACTTGTCTGAGCCTCAGGCTCCTGTATCCAACTTCCTATTGGACTCACTTTTAAATTTCTCACAGGATCTCAACATGTTAAAGATCAAATTATTCATTCCACTACATTTCCATCTCAGTAAATGCAACTAGCAGTTTCAAACCGAAACCAAACAGACTCTCTCTTGCATACTTTTTCATGTCTATTTCATCAGTAAGTCCTAATATATCTGCCTTCAAGTCCCGGCACCCTTGTTGAGCTACCATAAACCTATTTATCAAAATACATTGTGGGCATTTCCTTTCTAATCTCTCAGTTTGCTTTATTTAAATGTACCCTGCATATAGCAACCATAGGAACTTTTTAAACATATAAATGAAATCATATCACTCCCTTGCTTAAAATATTTCAATGCTTTCCCATTTCACAAGGAGAAAGCCTAAACGTCTAACCTTATCTGTGATCTGGTCCTCACCCAGCTCACCACCTCACCCTGAATCCACTGAGACCAAACCACACCTTCAGTTCTGTGAACACACGAAGCTCTTGCTTGCCTCATGGTCTCTGCTCTTGCTGGAAGTATCCTATTACCCTTCACGTGTTAACTTCCTCTCATTCAGAAGGACTCTAAATCTATTCCCTGTGATTTACCACCCATCTCCATCACGATCGATGAAGCCTCCTCATTTCTACTTATCCATAGACATGAATTGTAATTTTGCTTGTTCTTGCCCATTAGAGTTTAAGTTTAATAAATGTACACACAGTATTTTGGCACTGTGTCTGTACCAATAAGTATTTATTAAGTGAATGAAAATACAATTCATTCCTTCCTATCATAATTCTTCTATCTCAAATTCACTATATTTAAAAATTCCCTGTTCTTTTGTTCCTTCTAGCAGTCTTTCGCTCCCCATTTCTGATAGAATATAACAGTAATTCTTCTTTTTGTTCCCACCCCATCACACACACAACCTTCATATGTTCACTCAAGATGAAGAAGCAGGTGGGTAGCCTTTAGTAGAACAGAGATTTAAGATTTAAGAACCTATACAATACAGTCCTTGGGGACAAGGTCTGACATTGAGAATTCTGCCCTTCAGTGATGCTGCTGGAGTAAAGGGAGGAGGTTTAAGGGACACCATGTTTTAAGCCTTTCTGTTTAAGTGCCAAATATGTACCCTTTGAAGTCAAAGCTTTCTAAATGCATGAACTCTCATGCTCTTGTTTTAAAGTCAGTTGATGAAATTTTAAAGCCATAAATATCCCGGGCCACTCAGTTATTACTCCTCAGTACCAGCCCTTCCTTGCCACTACAAAATATCAAAGACCATGTGGATGTGTGTGTGTGTTAAATCTTTGAACCTGGAACTACTGATATAATGTACTGTGTGAAGGAAGAGTGGAGAGTTCTGGGGAGAGAAATCCGGAAATGTGGAGTGAAGTACAGAGGGAAAAAATAGCAAGACCAGCATTGCAGAAACTATTTTCTTCCAGAAGATTTTCTGTGGCTCTTGTCCTCTGACCTCTCCAGCTGCAGCTAGTGCTGAGAGATGACAAGGACCAAATGGATCCCGTCTCAGACAGCCTGGCAACAGCCCTTCTGCAGAAACCACGAGCCAGTTCACCCAAGCTCTCGCTGGTACGCTTCCAGGAACAGAATCATTTGGAGGTGCTGCCCTTCTCCTTTCCCAGCTGCCAGCTAAGAACTGAATTGAGACACCATGATGTGTTGTCAGCCTGGACTCTGCCTCTGGAAGTTTAATTTGAATTTGGAATCTGAGAACCCATTTCCCAAGGCAGCAGCATCCCACACAGCTGTTCAGAGCAGCCCTACATCTCTCATCTGTAGGAGGCCCTGGATGACTGTGGGCCACAGTTCCCCGCCAACACTCACTCTCTTTATGCTCCAAAAACATAAGAGCAGCCAGTGTTTTTTCTTCTTTGATTTTAAGACATTACCAACAAAATCTAGTGAGTGCAGAAGAATGGAAATAGCCCCAGTCTTGGTGCCAAAAGTCCTGGCTATTTTGTCCTGCCTCTGCCTCAGCAGCAATGACCTTGGGTAATCCTTTTAGTCTCTACACTAAATTCCTTTTACCTGTGAGACTGTGCCATTTTCACTACCACACTTGCTTCTCACAGATATTGACAAGATTAAAGAACGTGTGTGAGAAGGGATTAGCCAAAGAACATATAGGAATAACCCAAAGACACAGACAACAGTGTGTCGAAGGCCAGAGGGAAATGGGGGTGAGGGTGGGACCAGGTGGGCAAAGAGTGGGGATGGGGACATATGTATTAGGGTAAGCAATAAAAATAAGTTTAAAAAAATAAAGAAACAAACAAACTATCAACATAACAGCACAGTAGCCACAAAGTAAAGCACATGTATACTAAGACAAACAATCCAATTAAAAAATGGGCAGGACCCCTGAATAGACATTTCTCCAAAGAGGACATACAAATGGCCAAGAGACATATGAAAAAATGCTCAAATGTTTTTACTTTTGAATAATACTTTTTATGAACTATGTTATAACTATTAGCAATAAACAAACTAAAACATCCACTTAAGATTGTTAAATTAGATGAACAAGTAACATATTTTGGAAAGCAAAATTTAACTAATTACAATAGATTTATTGATATCCAAAAAGGTTTTGGGAGATGAGTTTTGAGGTTCTGATGTCCTATTGACTGTCATGGTGTGCCCTGTGCTTGTGTCACCACACTGCCCCTGGCTTCACATGGAGAGAGGGTTGGGGATTTGCTTCTGTAGGAAGTCAGAAATGGAGGTGTGGGGGATGGCTCTTTTCTCTAAATGTTTACTTTGATAAATAGTCTCTGAGTTAAATGACACATTTAGTACAAGTTTTTTTTTTATACTTATTTTCCCTCTCATCTATGATAGTGGTCCCGAAACTGGGCCACACAACAGATCCTGTAGCAAACATTTTAAATGCAAATTTCAAAGCCCCTGCCTAGACCTGTTGAGCCAGAATTTGTGATATCTCTGTTTATGACTGTCCCGCCCCCCCCACCCCCAGGTACTTCTGATAGAGCTGGTTCTTTGTGTCACTGATCTGTTATGATTTATGACCTCTCAGGATTGACTTTTTAAAATCCTAACATTAGATAGCCCTTGTACCATTTTAATCACTTGGCTTTGTTTCAATAGTACTAAATTATAAAAGCTATAGTTCCTGAAAACCACAACTTTCTATAATTATGACTCAAATGGGTTGAAAATGGAAAACATACACATACGAAATTTTGTAGAAAGTCAAGGAAGAAAAAAATCCCAACTTCCAGCTATTTCCCATGTTGAGACCTCATGTTGCAACATTCTTCCAAAGTGAATTTTATGTCTAAACCATAAAGATCTAAGAACCACTCGTGGGAGTGCTGTAGCCCCAGCCCTCTAAGACCGTTAGAGTCACCTCTTCCAGCCCCAGCCACTCAGTAAAGACTTTCAGCCTCTCGAAGAACTCCCTGCCCAAACTATCTCTAATTTACTGTTTTCTAACATGATCCTTTGTAAGAGATATTTTTCAGTTATTGCTGTCAACAAAAAATTTGTTTAATAAACATAGATTGTTATTTTCCCCATATGTTCAACAGCTCATTCAGAGCCATAAATAGACAACAAGAATGTTACCCACAATGTATAAATAGAGACATACCATGACATGGCCAACAGCACAGTTCCGCATTAGAACACTGCATTAACATGTCATTGCAAATATCTGAAAATTGCTCCTGAAAATAAACAGATTAAAACTCATCCAATAACTAAAAAACAAACAAACCAACAAAAACCATTCAGGTCCAATTTAATGTGAAATTTAGTCTAAGAAAAATCTTTATCTAGCATCTTAAATTTTTAAAATTGTTTCTTTAAAAAGTGAAGTGAAGTGAAGTTTCTTGTTCTCTTAAATGTATATTATTTCCTTTCTGAAAAGCATATTTGTAGGTGGAGCTTTAAAAAATAATCATCCCATCAACCTATTTCTTCTTATCCCTGGACAAGGAGTACAGTGATAAGGAAGTTTAATAAGGTACTTTATGCCTTTATCACTGCTGCATTGATTATGTGACCTAGGAAACCAAACCAACTTTCAACAGTCAATTGAAAAATTGGCCACTTGAAAAGTTCAAGCTTTTCATTCACTCTTTTAAGAAAGAAAAGTTAGTTCAAGACATACTTAAGCTAGAGGAGGAAATAGCAGGTCTATATTAAAACTGTGGATGAATTTTAAAAATATTCATGCTAGTGAATATGGAAACATACTGGTAAGTATGAAAAAAATAAAATCCCAAGTAATGTCCACTTTTTGAGAATGTATAAACTTGGTCAGGCTATAATCAAGGTTTTTTTTCTTTATTCCTCTCCCTTTGAGAGACATGTAGGAGGAATCAAATACTATGAATCAGTATTCTATAGGTTTTACTACTATAGTGTTATGAAATTTAATACTTTGGAATGATGAGCAATTAGAGTGAATATATTTTGATGAGGACACTTTCATAGAAATAAAAGTTTAACCTGTAATAAAAGCAAAGGTTTAACTTGTTCCCTGTAATTAGGCTCCTATGATGTTCTCCAATGTTTTTGTATGGTTTTGAGAAGAGAGGGTCTATATGGATTTAATTTTTCTTAAGCAAAACCAAACAGGGAAGTTTAATGAACTTACATAGTTCAGAATAGATTTATGCAACTAACATAGAGTCTTATACAAGATGAATAAATTTTGCTCAAATGACACTTGCTGGTGATTTTTTATTCTAAAGATATCTTTATCCTGTGTTATCTTTCTTTAACAGCCCACTTTTCCTGTAGGTCCCACAATAGGGACAAATACGGCGATTAGCTTTGCTCCTTACTTAGCACCTGTAACCCCTGGAGTTGGGTTAGTCCCAACAGAAATTCTACCCACCACACCTGTTATTGTTCCCGGAAGTCCACCTGTCACTGTCCCGGGCTCAACTACAACTCAGAAACTTCTCAGGACTGACAAACTGGAGGTACTTCCATTTTATTTGTGGTTTGAAATGCATTTGTGGTAGAAGTGTACTTCTATGTAGGTAAACGCTTGTAAGATATTGCACACACATTCATCTAAAAGCCATGCATTCATGATTCTTTGGTTTGAATTTGAAGCCAAGTATAAAGGAAATTAGTCTGTGGGAAAAGAGTATGTTTAACACACAAAAAGTCAGCTGCAAAATATTAGCAACCAGTGGAACACTGAATCAATCACTATGGCAGCCATAGTGATGGCTCCTGAAGGCCTCCAGCTGGGCTAGGCTCTTACCTTTGCTGGATTCTGGATTGGTCTCCAGGGGGCAAGTCAGGAGTCCAGAAGCCAGAGCAGTGGGGGACACTCAGGAACAAGGGAGGGAATAAGTTGGGTTATTACTCTTGACCAGTTGGTATGATCATATTTCACTATTTTAGGAACTAGTATGGCTGTACTACAACATTCCGGAATATCAGCCCTTGGTGTGTTGTTGGTAAACAGGGGGAATTGCAAACTGGGCAAATTTGTTGATTGGGACCGTTTCTTCAACTTACACTTAAGTGTTCTATAAAAGCCAAGAAAACAAGTACATATATTTATAAAACATAATTCTTAAGTCCTGAGTCAAGCCAACCCATCTGTACTTTACTGGGTAATATTTCTCTTTAATCAGAGTTAGAGGATTCATCCATTTATCTTAACTACTATATCCTGTGATATTTAATAGAGCATTTTATATGGGTGTGTAAAGATTTTAATAGATTTTTCAAAGAGCTCCTTTAATTCCACTACCAATTAAAGTTGTTAGGTGATATATGTGTATGGTTAGGATGTACCCTGAGCTTTATGTTGAATCCTTCGAGAATGTTCTTTCAAACATACATTTGTTTAAGTATCCACCCAATAAATCTTGAGGGCGGTAAAATGTTGCTGCCTAACGTCAGTTTCAATCCAGACTATATGGATCTCCACATGAAAAGACTGCAAACTCTAATCACTACTGTTTTGATCTAGCCTGTCCCTGTGAATGCTGAACAGACCTTTCATGGGACTCGATAAGTGTTTTGGGCTCCACCTGCTGGACCCATGAAGCTTATGTTCAGTACGTGACTGTGTGGTTTTAGAAAACAGATTCGATCAGCTGAGTTGGGAACAAACTGTCATTCCCAACAGTACTGATGGGCAAAGATATACGTAAAAATGACTCACCATGACTTTAGCAGAGCAGCTTTCAGTTCCCACTTCAAACCAGGAATGAAGTTGGCTACACACAAAGACCCTTGGTAAATGCTTACTGGCTGACCCACACCTCTGATGCAGTCTCAGACTGGAATCATTCCATTTACAGAGGAAGGCTTACTCAGAATCTGTGGGAACATCTTAGTAATCCTTATTGTGCACATTTCGTGAACTAAGAATGGAATGTTGGCTAATATTCAAAGTAGGAAGAAACAGTTGACAATTTTGTGACTTATCTGTTTACTCCTCAAACTTGCTTGGTGACTGGGGAGTGACACTGTAGTTCCCCAGTACGTTTGACTGTCATATCAGTTGACCCTTCATATAACATCACTGATGATCAGGATGTGAACCACCACTTAAATATACCCACTTTGGGATTGGAGCCTAAAAAGAAAATAACTCAAATTTTTACTAGTAATTCTTCCCTGCTAATGATATTTATAAATCTAAGAATTATGTATACATGTTATTTATGTTATTTCATGTTCTAATATTCAGGGCAGAATTAAGGATACTCTTTAAATTCTAAAAAACAAATAAACAAAAACACCTTTTACAGTAAACTCTTGATTCACCAGAATTTTCAGAGCATGAAGCATTCTAGTTACTTGAGGTTTCAGGGTAACTAAGGATTAAGGAATAAAAAAGAAACAACACACAACATTTCAAACTCTATTCTACTTCCTTTCATTTCTTTCTCTCCCTTTATCTCTTTCCACATTTCTCTCTTTTTTCTCCTTTTAAAATATGTTTCTCATTTTTCTGTGCTGTCAGAAATAGTAATATGGTGACCTTAAATGAAAATTTTTGGTGGCTTAGATATCATAATTCTTCAGATTTATTATCATGCTATCTTTATAGAGCTGGGGGGACATAGGGGAAAACTGGGGTAGTCACCCCCCCATTTCCCATTCTCAGAGAGGAGGAATGAGTTTGTCATTTCCCCCTACTCTTTTTGGAGTTGTACAGCTATGGCCTGGTGGCTTAAACTATGGAGAAATTATCCCTTCATGCAAAAAACCGATAGCATTCCAGAGTTGTTCAGAGTAGAAGATTTGTGTATATATATATATATACTCTCCAAATTATTATATATATTTATATATTCCAGAGACAGTGGAGGCCTTGTTGATTTCTCTTTGTTATTTTTCCCAAACTGCAGATTTTGACTTATTTTCTCAATATCCACTCTCAACCTAGAAAAGAGGGCAAAGCAAAACTCAAAATCGTTTTTATTAGGGATTCTGCTTACTTGTGTTCTTGATAATCAAACTTGCATTGTAAATGGCACAAAAGCCACCCTTCAGAGAAACGAAAGGAATTAATTCAATTAAAACACACACACACACACACACACACACACACACACACACACACACACGCACTGGCTGCGTGCAGAGGCGGCCAGGCCCCGTGCTGCATTGTCTGCTCTGTCCCCCTGTGTCCTAGGTATGCAGGGAGTTCCAGCGAGGAAACTGTGCCCGGGGCGAGACCGACTGCCGCTTCGCACACCCCGCCGACAGCACAATGATCGACACAAACGACAACACCGTAACCGTTTGTATGGATTACATAAAGGGGCGTTGCATGAGGGAGAAATGCAAATATTTTCACCCTCCTGCACACTTGCAGGCCAAAATCAAAGCCGCGCAGCACCAAGCCAACCAAGCCGCGGTGGCCGCCCAGGCAGCTGCAGCCGCGGCCAC